CGTGGCGGGCCAGCATCTGGGCAAGTGCCAGGGGCTGCGGCGGCCATGGCTTGTGGTCACCTCAGACCCAATCTGGGCTGTGAGTTGCTCAACGTGCCACGCTCTTCCTGTTCCGCTTTTCCCAGGCAGTCGCTCCCGCTGCGTGTGGCCCTGGCCTCTGCGGGCTCACCGCACGGAAGCGTGGCCCTGCACGCGGACCCCCAGCCTTCCCCATCTCTGATTGCTTTGCCCTCCCCGTGTTGCTAAACAGCTGGTAAAGAAGCCCAGCTCTTGCCTTTTTCTTTTGAGGAAGGAGCCAGCCTGTCTGTATGCAGAGGCTCTGGTGGTCCTCTAGCTCCCCGAGCAGCTGTGCCTCAGCACATCTACAGCTTAAACGGGGTGCATGCCTGTGGTCCCGGTGGCTCGAGAAGCCAGGGCAGGAGGCTCACTTGAGCCCAGCAGTTTGGGGCCAGACTAGGTACCCTAGTGAGACCCTCATAAAGGAGAGAGAAGACATAATCCCTGCCTGCCTGGTGGAGACTTCCTGTCCACCAGCCCTGGGGCGGGTGTCGCTTGACCCTGGTGTGAGGTGACAGTGCTGGGCTCGGGGGTGATCACTCCTGGCAGTGCCCTTCTCTCAGGCACCTCCTGGCCCACAGAAAGGTTGAGGGCAAAGAAAGCCCAGAGTCCTTGGTGCAGTGAGGACTCCCTGTCAGGCCCAGGGATGGAGGGTGTCCCTGATGAAGAGGGTTCCAGGTGGTGAGCCACCAGGGGCTCACTGTATGGCCCTTCTTAGAGTTCTGCGTGCCTGAAATAGTTCACTGAATGCCTTGGGGGAACACCGCCAAGCTCTCCCTCACCGTGGGAGGCCGCCGTGGGGAGCAAGAGCCACTGGTGACAGCCTCCACTGTCCCCCCCAGCGCGACCTGGGCGGTGCAGACCCAACAGACAACCGTGAGCAGCGAGCACCCATGGGCCGCTGGCAGTGAGTCGCGCACACCCCTGCTGGCCTCCAGGGGCCTCTGAGCAGCTCCAGTGGACAGGCCCGTGCAGACCCTCTTCCTCCTCCCGACAGCCCTGGGGGGACGCAAGCCCCGTGAAGAAGGGAGCCCTGCACTAAGGCACCAGACGTGCTTCCCAAGCCCCAGGAAGGAAAACCAGGCCTCTCAGATGTCGGAAACTAACGTTTCTGGTCCTGAGATCTGCAGAGTTCTTTAGTACATAAATATCTGCAGGATCTGTTCTCTGGAAACAGACGAAGAGACGTAATTCACTGACAGCAGAAATAGCTCAGCACCCCCACCGCTGCAGGCCCTGGCCCACGCTGCTGTCACAGAAGGCTCGGGGGGAGGGTCCAGCAGTCACAAGATACACGGGCACACATGGGCGCTCGGAGCCAACAGACGTGTTCTGCGGGCACCAGCAGCATGGCATCTGGAGGCCGGAAGGCCCGAGGCAGCCTCCAGCAAGGCCATCAGGAACTTTTTAATGTTTTGGGGAGCCTTAATATCCTCGGGACCTCAGAGGCCTATGAAAGAGACCCACAAGCCTAGCAGCTTATTGCCCGCCAAATCCCATGTTCTTGCATGGATTTCTAGGGCAGAGTCTTACCTTCTGAGTTCTCCAAAGGGCAGTGACTGCAGGATCTTAGGACCTATGTGTCCAAGTCAAAGCTCTATTACATATGACCCCCCAAAAAAAACCCTGATTTAAACTGGCTTGAATAAAAAAAAGTAGGGGAAGAAGTTTATTAGCCAATGTACGCAAAAGGTCCAGGAGTATATAGTTTGAAGTAGAGTGAGACCCAGGAGCTCCAGCCTTGCAGTAACCGGGGTCCTGCTCTCCGAGTCTGGTGGCTTCGTCATCAGGCAGGGTCTCTCCACCTGCAGTCCAACTCAAACCCCTGTTCTAAACAGCATGTGAGAGGCCACTCGGACATAGGCTTTGTGTGAGAAAGTCTTTATTACCATCAGGGTATGAAGGGACTGAAGTTGGGGCAGATCTCAGCCACTAGCTGGGAAGGACATTGGGATTGTACAGGTATTAAAGGGACTAAGGAATCTGGGCTGAAGTGTTTATGATTGAGGGTCCAAGGGTGGTCAGAGCAGGTGTGCATACAGTACTGGACTTCTTGCTGCTGGTGCCACGGAGAGTGTGTAGCCCTTCCTGAATTTTCTTCGTGGCCATCTGGTTTGTTTTCTGAGAACGGCATTGCCCTTTGATGTTCCCTGTTTGTTGGGGACTGGATGTTTGCTCAGAGGCTCTAAGAAGGCCGGGCATGACAACCCTCCCTGCCCCACGTGACGTTTCCCACCAGTGTCCCCACAGAGGTCGTGAGAGCCAGGGGGCCAGTGTGGTTTGTGTGACCACCCATGATCCAGTCCGTGCAGCCTGCCCAGGGGAACCGTGAGTCACCACCTGTACCCGTGTGGGCAGCGTAACTTCTTCCCCCAGAGTGCCGGTGCTCTGGGGAAGGTTATGGAGCCAGCCAGAACCGTGAGTGTTCTGTGTGTTCAGAAGAGAGATTCCGTGGACAAGATCGGGTTCCGGCCCTCTGACGCTTTACTGAGAGCAGTCCTGAGTGAGGCCTGTTGAGCCGGCGCCCAGTCTGCACAAATGGTGGAGCGGGGACGTGCTGTCCTCCACTGTGCGCTCTTGTCCTCCCAAAGTATGTGTTGGACCCTAATCCCACGGATGTGATCCTTTGGAAATCTGGCTTTGCAGAGGTAGGAAGTTAAATTAGGGCTCTGCTGGATGAGCGTGGGCTCTAAATCCAGACGTTCGTCCTCGTAGGACAAAGGTGGAGGTGACTTGACGGGCACAGAGGAGACAGAGCAGAGCCTGGGGAGATGCAGCCACAAGCCAAGGAACACGGAGGCCCTCCAGCTTCTGGAGAGGGCAGAAAGAGTCCTCCCTAGAGCTTTTGAAGACACCCCAGCCCCGCCACACCATGATTTCCGGCTTCTGGCCTCCTGAACTGTGAGAGGACACATGTCTGATTTTAAGCCCTTCTCCCCAACTTGGAAAAAACTCATCCACCTTCAGTGGATCTCAGGCACCCTGACACCCAGCATGGATGTGAGCCTCTCAGGCTCGGTTCCCGCACAGCCTGGAGTTCTGGCATTTGCACACTCGAGGATCTCAGCCTGGGGTTTTCCAACAAGGCCACTGGCACTGAGGAAGTAGCAGTCCTGACGGCTGGGAAAGTCCTCCGGGCAGCCTTATGACTGCTTCTCAGGTGCCCCCGGAGAGGCTGAAGAGGCCTCCTCTCCCGCACTCCCGGCAGTGTCCTCATCAGAGGGAAAGCCCGGAAGCCCATCCAGCCCAGCACCGGCGCCTGTGTGGAAGCCTGGGCAGGGCCAGCATGGCTGCCAGCCACAGCTCACCGCCAGAACCCCCTGCTGGTCACACCCTCTGCAGTCAGCTCCTGTCAGCACCGCTGCCGTCAGGATGCCAGCTCACCTCGGTATCCAGCAGAGAAGCCCAAGCACAGCCTGACCGAGCCAGCCTCGAAGGCTCGGCTGCGAGCTCAGGTCCTGTCTGATGTCTCTGGTGACTTCTTGATGCTGCCGCTCAGGTTCCGCGGGTGGCACACTAGGGTTTGACTCTGACTGTTCCATCTGTTGGCATGCAGCCCTTGGAAGTTGTTCGGCCTTTTTCTTTTCTCAGTTCCCCTTGTGGAACAGAGGACTATCCTCCCTGGCTCCTAGGACTCTAGTGGAAGTGAGATCATGAACAAAGTAGATGCCAGCCAGATTATGCAATGACAAGGCCTTCCTTCAGTAAATATGTGCCAGTCAGTGTCTTAGAAGCTAGGGTCACGGCAGGGGGAAACAGATGCCACTGCTTTGGAGCTTATGAAGATAAAGACTGATGCTGATGATCAGGGTGGTGCTCATGATGGCAGTGATGGAGTCCGTGGCGTTAGTGGTGATGGTGATGATGGTGGTTGTGAAGACGAAACAAAAACTACGTCTAAACTACAAGATCTTCCTGAGCAGGGGCTGCACGTCACTGTTCTGTCCCTTTCATTAGCGGGCATAGTGCCTTGCTCACAGCAGGTACTAAAGCTGCCTGCTGTTGACAGCCTCACTCTGCGTGCTGTGTAAGCAAGGAGAACCCTCCCAGAGCTTTCTAGGCTGGCATCCAGTGCACAGTTCTTTGAAGTTGTGTTTTATCTTTAAAACTGACTTGAGCTTTTTGTTTCCTTCCATGAATATCCATGTTTGTCTTACTTATAAACAAGAACTTTCTTCCAGACTGAGTGAAAACAGTGCCCCAGGAGAGCGTGGCCTGTTTACATCTGCGGCTTCAGAGACACAAACTACCCACACATGAACCCCAGCACCCAGCCAGCCCCTCAGGACACTGCCACATGCATCTGGAGTCCCCAGATGGCAGAACAGGAGGCCAACCCAGGCCATTAAACCACTGGGCAAGCCAGGCATGGTGGCACATGGCTGTAATCCCAGCACTTGGGAGGCTGAGGCAGGAGGATCGCTGTGAGTTCAAGACAAGCCTGGGCTACATAGTGAGTTCCAGGTCAGTCTCAACTACATAGTGAGACCCTGTCTCAAAAAACCAAAAAAAGAAAAACAACCAAAAAAAAAACCCTGGGCAAAGGGAACCTTTGGGGAGGGTCTTCTTGGCCCCCTGAAGCCACTGTGTTCTCATGTCATGTGCTGAGGCTGGGCTACACTGGTAACTTAACACCCAGACCCAAAGGTACATCAAGAAGAGGCTGGCCAGGTGTGGTGGGCACACCTGCAATCCCAGCACTGGAAAGGCTGAGGCAGGAGGATCGCCGGGAGTTCAAGGCCAGCCTGGACTACATTGGAGACCCTATCTCAAAAAACAAAAAATATGATCTCTAGGAACCGTTTCCCTTTGGGACCTGGTGTCCCCAGCCTAGGAGGGCTCCTGGGTTGCACGGGATTCCCCCGCCCCTGGGCAGTCCCCAGGCCGCAGGGCACTGGGAGCACTGGTCGTGTGTCGGCGCTGTAATATGTGTTCAAACTCACCTGGGACTAAGGGATCTTCACTCCCCTGGGACAGGGGAGATGGGAGCTGCCCATTGGTGCTCTGCTGAGGTCCCGCATCCAGGCGGGATGCCGAGAGAGCAGTGAGCAGAAGGGCCGTGGCACCTGGAGGAGGCGCGCCCCGAGGCTAAGGTCCGGCCCAGGCGTGGGGCCTCAAAGCAGGGTGCGGGCTCCTCTCTGACGCTGCACTCCCTCCCGCAGTCATTGCTCTGCGTCACGAGTTTCCACGGCAATGCAAATGCAACAGAATCCGAGCAAGAGGAAGTCCCGCGGGTCATCAGGATCGCCAGGAGAGTCAGGAGCTCCGCCCTCCAAGCAGTTCGGCCGCTGGCCTGGACCTGGACGGGCACGGAGCCCTGGCGCCACCTGGTGTTCACATGGAAAATGCCGGCCACGGAGGGAATCAAACGCAAGGGCCGGGGGTCGCTGGTGACAACCTGCAGTGAGGGGCTCCCCAGCCTCTGCACACCGGCCTGCTTCAAGGCTGGATACCCCTTGAGGTAAGGAGCGCCGGGGCTTGTTACTCTCAGTTCCTCGCCCTCAAGTGAGCAGAGGCTCTGGCCGTTTCCCAGGGGACGCCAAGGATCAGGCCTTAGAATCCCGCCTTGGAGGTCAGCACCTTCCCAGGGGTCGCCTGGCCCCAGCACCTGAGGGCAGGTAGCCAGTGGCCCTGATGCCAGGCTCCCTGGTGAGATCTCAGTGTCCCTAGAGGGGTCGGCCGGTTCTCCACCCGGCTTCTCAGTCAAGGTGCAGCCACCCCGTCCGTGCAGCGGACAGGCGCACAGTTCCCAGATGTCCTATGTGTGCGGAGGTGGTCCTGATCCCGGGGCGATAGAACAAAAATGGCCCTTGGCTCTGTTTCTGCCAGTTGTGGACGGAATCCAGTGGTGAAGTGACACTAGGAGCACAGGGGAACCAAGACAAGCTGGCCACTTGCAGCCTCAGGTGTGCGTGATGTGGGGTGCACATGTGTCGGTTTCTCAGAGCTGCAGCCGCCGATTCTGCAGGGTCTGCAGTCCCCAAGGATGGGAACATCTTCCCCGAGACCCCACCAAGGTGAGCAGAGTCAGCCTGGCAGCTGCACCCCACCGCTGTGTGGTGAGGGGATGGGGTTCACACCCCAGATGAGGTGCTGCCCTGGAGAAGCTCTTGGGGGCCCAGGAGGAAACGGTTCGGTGGTACCCGGGCATCTGAGTGTAGTGTTGACTTTTGGCTTGGATTGGGCTGGTGGCAGAAAGGTGAGAGACGGAGTTATTTCCACGCATCCTCCCTACCCTGGCTGCGTGACCTTGGATAAATCACTTAACCTCTGTGTGCCTCCGGGATGATAACCTGGGTGGTCACAGGAAACTGCTCGTGGCGGGCACACTGAGGCCGGGCCACCCAGGTCTGCCTTGAGTCAGGGCCATGTGCTTAACCCTGAGCTCAAAGCAAAGTTCTTGTGCCCTTGGATCAAGTGTACAGCCAGAAGTGATCCGGGCACAGCTTCCTGGCATTAGAAGCCGGCCTCCCACCCCAAATAACACCTGTGCTCTGGGGTCTGTGGCAGGTCAGCATCTAGGGAAGACTCCACAGCTCTTGCAGGAAGACGTCCCTGCAGGCCGAGGACTTCAGGCCTGCAGGACAGAGCTGTGCAGCTGGGAGAGGAGAAGCAGCTGCCTGCTGGGCAGTGGCACAGCATATCCCCTCCTGGTCCTCTGCAGGGAGAAAGTGTCCGGTTTCAGAAGGTGCAGGTCTCTGTGCGCCCTCTGCTATCCACAGCTGAGAATGCATGCCTCCCTCAAGTCAACACAATATTGCGGAATGATTTTAGAAGTAAAGAGAATCACTTCCCAGGGATGGGAGTTCCGTGCTGGCATGATGGTGTGCGCCTGTGATCCCAGATGCTCAGGAGGCTGGGGAGGAAGGTGGCAGGTTGGGGACCAGCCTGGGCGGTTTCACAAGAGCCTATCTCAAAGTAAAAGCAGGGGGAAGGGAGGGTGTGGATCTGCGTTCCCTCAGCTGGATCCAGCCATGGGCTCAGTGCACTGCTGTGTTTGGATCTAAGAAGCCCCGAGATTCTCTGGGTGTGGAAGGTGACAGGGTCATAGTGCTGCACTTGTCAGTGGACTCATCGCCCTCGGTGGAGGGGTCGCTGCCCTTGGGAGGGAGCATCCTGTCCCAGCCCCTCACTTCCTTCCACCCCCTGGCTGCCAGGTGGAGCACCTTCCCCTCCGCCATCCTCTTCTGCCCTGGAGCAGCTGACCAGGCGCTGGAGCTGAGCCCAAATCCGCGCCTCCTCAAGTTGAGTGTGTACACTAGCTTATTCCAGTGATGAGAAAGTGGGTTAGGGCAGACCCTCAAACCAGGTGTGGTGGCACATGTCTGTGAGCCCAGCACTTGGGAGGCTGAGCCAAGAGGATCTCCAGGAGTTCCAGGCCAGCCTGAACTGTATAGACCCTGCCTCAAAAAGAGGGCGGGAGATTTAGCTCAGTGGCACCACACCTGCCTCGAGTGCAAGGACCTAAGTTTGATCCCCAGTACCAAAAAATAAATAAACAAAAAATAAAACAAAAATAAAAGATCCTCAATATAAAGAAAAAAGTTCAATTTTCAAGGAATTATAACACGTCTTTAACTTATGAATACCCAATAATAACCTCAACTATATAAAGCAAAAATTGAAAAAAAAAAAAAACTAGGGAACAGACAAAAATTTGTCTCCAAAATAGATCCGGGTAACCTATCAGTAAGAGATACTGTGAACAACACAGCAAACATCAGCCTGTGGGGCCCTCGTCCTAAAGCTTCCAGGAAGGCAACAAAACTCCAAACACAGAGCCCCAGGCAGCGCCAACACAGCTGATGGGAAGCGTGGCTGTCAATGCCGTGGTACTTGAAGGGACCTGGAAGATGCCAGCTGCTGGAAACAGCCCAGGTGCAGAGCGGAGCAACCCCGGAACAGGAATGGAAACAATGCCTGTCTCACTGTGGCCTCCTTCTCCTGTGGAGCTTCAGAAACTTAACCTCACTTATTAAAAAAGGAGAAGTTCAAGAAGCTAGAAAAATAACAGCAAATCAACCTAAAGAAAGTGGAAAAAAACAGTTCGGAGCACAAGTTACTGAAACAAAGCAATAGAAACTGGCAACAATGCCAAAATGTGTTTATTAGAAAGAGTAATAAAATCGAAAACCACTGGGAAGGAAAAGGAGAACAAGACAGACCCTGCAGGAAGTGAGCTGGTTAGGGTGACATGGATAGAGTGTGGCAGTGCATCTGAAATCCCTGCTACTCGGAAGGCCGAGGCAGGAGGGTCACAAGCTTGAGGTCAGCCTGGGAAACTTAGCAGGAGCCTGTCTCAAAATAAAATACTGAAAGGGTATGTAGCTGAGTGGTGAGTTTGATCCAAAACAAGGAAAACCTCACAGGCAAACAGCCTGAAAGACTGGAACATCAGCACGCACGGCATCTGGCAGGACGGTCTCAGAGAGCTGCTGCTGGAGCGCCGTGGAGAGACGGAATGCAGAGGACCAGTGCTTTCAGACCCGCAGCCTGAAGCCCTCAGAGGCGTCCTGGGAAAGGCCCAGCTGACTGTGCCCCTCTTCCGTGAAGCAGCCGGCGGGGGGTGGCGGCTGAGTTGGCCCTGGAATCACCTCGGGAACTGCCATTGCTGTGCATGAGGGCCACCCCCACGGCTGCCTCCCAACACCACCAGGCCAGTGACCGGCATGGGGCACTCCTGCAGGAGACCCGCTGGCCCCATGGCTCCGTTTGCTGACAGAAACTGCACTCCTGGCGAGCAGCCTCCGCTCTACTCCTGCATCTGATTCACCCACTTTACATCCTGAACTTGAGTTGAAAGGACCCTGGGCAAGAGCCTTGGGGTCAGAAACAATCCCACCAGCTGTTTGAACAGAGGACTCCGTATGCAGAGTGTTTGCCTGGGTCAAGGTGGCTAACTCGGTAATTGCAAGAGTAAAAGAAGAATGGGATGGTATCATAGAATCAGCAGCTCAAGACTTGACCAGCACCCCTGGGACTAAAGAACAAGAAGAGGTCGAAATCAGTATCACCTAGAAAAGAGGTCCCTGTGGAGCTGAAGCTGAGATGCTAAAGCCAGGGTGCTGCTCAGAGGGGCTGGCAACTTCAAGATCCTGCAGATGAGGACTTAACTGCAGCTAAACAAGAGACGGCCACTGCCAGTGAAGCAGCAGAGGGGCGACATTCACAGGAAGTAGAAAGCAGCAGACAGGAAAAGGAAGTAGAGAGAAGCAGACAGGAACCCGGAAGCAGACAAGAGCAGGTCGCTCCCTTCTGTCCAGGCTTCCAGAGCCCCAGTGCTGGTGGCCAGGCAGAAAAGCGGGGCGCAGAGTTCCAGCCCCGGCATCTCGGGCAGTTACAAGAGGGTGGGTTTGAAGCCGAGAGTGATCCTCCCTGGCGTGATGCATCTCTGCCTACCAAGCACATTCTGCACATTTATGGTCTTCATCTTCACCTCCCAAGATGCTAACATCCTACACACAAAGGAAGGTGTTCTTACCCTCACCCCAAATTGAGTCACCGCTGTCTCTGTGGGCTGTGTGAATTACTCAGGTTCGGTCACAGTCACCCGGATGTCTGCTGTGTGAAGCTTAACTGCAAAGTTAGCCTCTAACAGGCTTGAATAATTAGAGAAGAAAAGAAAAATAGTTACTGCCCTACATAGGTGTGTACACACATGCGTGCTCACACAACAAGCAAGGAAGAAAGTACACTTAGTGCTTCTGTTCCCAGCTCTGACCTGGTCTCGCCGCCCTCTGCCTCCTCTGCTCTTCCCAGGCTCCTGCTGATCAGGGCTCTTTGCCCATGGGTTACCCCAGGCCCGATTCCTGTGGGGTCTGAGCCCTTTGTGGGCCTGCCTTCCTGTTTTCCTGAAACCTCTGTTCGTGCAGTTCTGCATCAACTTCACTGTGGGGCCAGCAGCATCCCCAGCCTTTCTGGCACCAGGGACTGGTGGGGGAGGAGTCGCAAGCACGTTGTATTTACTGTGCACCTCATTTCTATTGTTATGAGGTTCTTACAAGGAGCCTGCACGCTAGGGCCCTTGCCTCCGCCCGTGACGATCTAATGCAGCTGCTGACCTGACGGGAGGTGGAGCTCAGGCAGGGTGTGAGGGTTTGGAGCGGCTGTGAGCACAGAGGAAGCTTGGTGGGCTCTGACACCAGTGTGTGGCCCAGGCCGCTGGGGAGCCTGGTCCTGGGCGCGGCCTTCCTCCCTGGGACCATCGCCCGACAGGACGGTCACCCTCTTCTTTTCCTGTTGGTTCAGGGCATTCATGGCACTGTCCACTTCGGCTGAGGCAGCCAGCACAGCAAACAGGAAACAAACAGGACAGAGAGTCAGGAGGTACGGACCCTGCGCCCAGGAGGAACGTTCTGTGCAGTGTGCTCTTTCTTAGTTCACAGCGCCCACCTGCCTCCGACTGGATTGTAGGAATGTTTCAAATGCAAAATAACCTGTTTCCTTTGAACTCGGGTTCTTTGAAACAAGCAAAATAACTTCTAAGGCTCTGCAAGGCCTTCCCTGCTCTGCTCGTCTGTTAAGACCAAAGCAAGCACAGCTCAGTGGCAGTCCCACTTCCAGAATCCCTTTTTCCTTCTTTTTCCATTAAACACTCTCCTACCTCCCTCCTTTTGTCGGTGACTTCATTCTCCTACTTTGTGAGGTGAGGACCTTGGACCTTGAATTTATACAAAATTAACCATTTTACTTGTGGAATCATTAATTCCACTGGAAGTCAAGACTCCTGAACCACCAGAGAGTGTCCACAAAGGGAAATAAAAGCCCTGCAAGCAGATGCAGTGTGTGACAGCGAAAGGCGCCCCTGCCCTTCTGTCCTCGGTTAAAGCACAGCACTGGACACCAGTGGAGGCGGCACTTGGGCTTCAAGAAGGCATCCAGAGGAGCGGTAACCAATGCCTCAGTCGACATCTGCGTCTCCTCCGGGCCTGAAGTCGGGACGCAGCCGAGCCACGGTCACGCACAGCAGCCAGAGGTGCCAGCAACTCACTGTCCCTGGACAGAATAGTGG